TATATGGGAGCCAATATGAGCATCCAGGTTCCGCTATTGGTTTCAATGACAGTTATATTATGAGTTTATGAGTTTTGATGTACCGAAGGAGTTCGGAGTCCCGGATGAGATCGGGGACATGACGAGGAGTCTCGAAATGGTCGAGATGTAAAGATCGATATATTGGACGACTATATTCGGACATCGGAAAGGTTCCGAGTGATTCAGGTATTTTTTGGAGTACCGGAGAGTTGCGGGAATATGTATTGGGCCTTATTGGGCCATACGGGAAAGAAGAAAAAGGGCCTCAAGGGTGGCCACACCCCTCCCCTTGGTCTGGTCCGAATTGGACTAGGGAAGGGGGGCGCCCCCTTCCTTCCTTCTCCTTTCCCTTCCTCTTTTCCTATTCCATATGGGAGGTGGAATCCTACTAGGACTAGGGAGTCCTAGTAGGACTCCACACTTGGCGCGCCCCCTCCTAGGGCCGGCCTCCTCCTCCCTTGCTCCTTTATATACGGGGGCAGGGGGGCACCTCTAGACACAAGTTGATCCACGTGATCATATTCTTAACCGTGTGCGGTGCCCCTTCCACCATAGTCCTCGATAATATTGTAGCGGTGCTTAGGCGAAGCCCTGCGATGGTAGTACATCAAGATCGTCACCACGCCATCGTGCTGACGGAACTCTTCTCCGACACTTTGCTGGATCGGAGTCCGGGGATCGTCATCGAGCTGAACGTGTGCTAGAACTCGGAGGTGCCGTAGTTTCGGTGCTTGATCGGTCGGGCCGTGAAGACGTACGACTACATCAACCGCGTTGTGCTAACGCTTCCGCTATCGGTCTACAAGGGTATGTAGATCACACTCTCCCCTCTCGTTGCTATGCATCACCATAATCTTGCGTGTGCGTAGGAATTTTTTTGAAATTACTACGTTCCCCAACACAGTGCTAGCACGACACCAAGCAGGGGAGCACCTACGATGATGGCAGTGAATATAAAGGGGGGAAAACCATAAGCTTTATGAGTATAGTGACCGTGACATGGCGGATCTGAAGGTGCAAACCGAACAAAGCAACTTCGCAACCAATGTTTGCATTCAACTAGCCACTACGATTTGGTACGGACAAGAAAAGTACAGTAAACAATTTAAGATCTATTTTCCGGGTGATATCAATAACTTAAGCACATATGGAAGAGTACCACCTCTCTTGCGACGCCGTGTAGGCCCCTGTTGATACGTTGAGGGTGCTGCGGGTGCGATGGCTGTCGGCGGCGGGGAAGAAGACTTTAGATGGCAGACGGTCGGGTTGGGGGATAAATCCTGTTGCCGTGGATGAGGCAGTCGTAGGAGCGGCAACGGCAAAGTGGACGACGGCGCCGATGAAGTGAGACGACGCGATGAAAGGATCCTGGTCCGGTGCCATGGATGAAAGACGTACATCTCTTGCAGTGGACGACGGGGGTAGGGGTAGCTGCTCCGGCAAGGTGGGGGATGGGGTGGCGGATGGAGGAGGCTGGCCGCAGTGGGGAGGTTGTCATGGCGCCGACGGTGTATAAAAGGGGAAATGGAGGGGGAGGGGGATCTCAAACTTTGGGACGCGCTTGTCTGAAATGTGGGAAAATTACGAACTTATCCCCCGTTTAAAATTTCGGACATCACGTTGGTTGGGGATAGGACGGTTATCTCGCATCTCCCAAATATTTGCCGATAACGGTTTCGGGCGAGGAGAGGGTGTTTTGCCGCCCACGGTTGACGCCCATGGTGTATGAACGGGGTTGACAGGTAGGGCGGTTGTGTCACGTCTGAGGGAAGTTACACATCTGCCCCTATTTAAAATATTAGCCTACATCGATGTCGGACGAGGAGAGTTTGTTTTGCCGCCCACCGTGGATGAATGGGGAAATGGAGGGATAGACACATGTCTTTCAGACGAGCTTGAAACAAATGTGTTTTGCCACCCACGTTTGGCGCGCACCGTGTCTGAATGGGCTCAGAGGCTGTTGTGTCACGTCTGATTGAAGTTACTAGTCTACCCCTATCGACAACAGTGTAAATCCGGTGGATAAGGATGTCAAGTGCCAGGGGTAGACAGTAATTTCCATCTCGCAAACACTTGCTTCAGGCAGCCCACTAATGATAGTGAGTGTTTAGCCGCTTCGTTCAAAACTTGGGAGAATTAGCATTCACGTTTGCCCTAGGCCCTAGCAACTAAATGCAAATCCAATTTTTATTCGATTACAAATATCCATAGACAATTATATGTTTTGTTATTTATTTCTTCAAGACCACAACAAAGATTTATTCCACCTTTATATATGATTATGATTTAGAAATGTCGTGATCTTCGAATTCAGTAGGTTGGATACACTTTGAGTCAAACCGTTATTTCATCCAATACAATATGCTCACACGAAAAAAAGTTCACCTTATGTCAATCATACAAGTACTGAGGATTACCTCGCCTAAAAAATTCGAATGATTACAACACATGGACAACATAGGGGGTCTTACAACATAATCCATTCAGAGACATGATACAACATGCAAGTACAATAATCTAATGACAATTTCAACTTCTATCTAAAGAAGAACTGGGATTACCCTGGGCTTCAGATAACAGAAGCAGCAGGACCTCCTCCGTCTTCAAATGCAACATTCTTACTTCCTCCAATTCTTGGGTTGCTTGCATAATGCGTGCAGCTAATTGCATAATTTCCATCTTCAAGATCGAGATTACCTCATTCATGGCAGCCACACCATCTCTTTCTGCCTCTAGTAGAGCCTCAAGAACTATAATATCTGTGCTCAGACTGCTCTCTGGCGGTGTTGCCTCTGAACTGCTACCATATGGTAACATGGATGGCGCACTGCTTCCACAAATAGATTCTGGGGTTGTACATTGTGTCCTAGTGTGAACGGCATCCTGAAAGGTTTCCGCTGGACATAAGTAAGAGATAGTTATCGCATGATCCAGGCAGTAAGCTTACATGGTAAACGACATACGAATTATTGTCGAGCATGGCAAGCTATATTTAAATGGTTCGAAGCAGCATCAGCCGAAAAGAAATTAAAATGGTAAGATGAAACTAGGGATGTATGTGGCAAATAAACGACATCCGCCAGTCCCATCTAGTTAGTTTTTGCTAGCTCCCTAGTTCATTTTCCTCAAAAAAAAACAAAATCTCTTTTGAACTATCATACCACTAGTGGACTTTAATTGGGATTAAACGGGACCCAGTTGACATCCCTAGTTGAAAGGGAGTGTACCACTGCTATATTTAAGTTGCCAAGGCATCTAAGCAGTTGAAATAATATGAGAAAGCACTTAACAGTGTGGCCTCATATAAACTATGAAGACAGTCTTGTGATGAAGTTCAGAGGAAAAGTTAAGGACTCAAATGAACTAGGCATGCATTTCTTTACGATAGTACAACATGCACTGCTGACATATTGGCCAACTCAGGTATAGCATAACAAGTAACAAACAAGCATTCGAATCAAGCAATACAGGAAAGCAGACAACTGAACTATTTGTTATTATGTAGGATTACAGGTTGAGGGCACAAGCCAAGAAAGTAGCCCACACGCATTACATTTCACATGTACTAAAACACACTGGCTTACCATATGTTGTTGTGAAGCCTCGCTGCTGTTGCAATGTTCTTTGAAGATATCGTCAGCATCCCGTGGTTGCAAATCTACTTGTCGTAGTTTATTTTGCACCCTCTATTTAGGTAAAATTAATTTTAGTCACATGCACTGGTTCGAATTGATCATCAATGGTTCATCTAAACTAATGAAAGAAGGGTGTGTGTGCATACACGACAATATATCTGCTTCCCTCTATTTTTATGCTTGTTCGAGGTGCCAGCCCCAAAAGAACAAATATTTTTCTTGATGGGGTTGGCAGCTCCATAATTAATAGAAGCATCAAATTAGTCATGCAACTTGGGAAGATCAAGAACACACAAAAAGTAATGAACATAGGCTCATAGCAGTGATGTAATAGCTAGCATCAGAAAATGTAGGGTAAAACGAACAAAAACCAGCGGAACCACATGCTAGTTTGCTCATGTGTAATTAAGCATAGAGAACATGAAGCAGTCTAATGGAACCAACAGGTGGCATCAGAACAACAATATTATCATAAATATAGCATGCAAGAAGTAAAATAGCAGGCATTGATATCTAGGAAGTACAGTAATACTTAGGACAAAACTAAAGCATATTAACTATATGTGCACTGGTATGTAATTTAGCACATGTAACATGTTCACTACCAGAAGTATGGCCCTACAGGTGCAAGTAGAATAACGCGTCTTATGAAAAACTGAATGATTCCCTGAAGAAATTCAAAGGTGCGGTGCTTATGCTAAGAAAGCACCACTAGGAAAATGCTTATACATAGAATTTTACCAGTAGCGTTTGTTTGTGTCCCTACGCTACTGATAATTACCAGTAGTGCTGGGTACAAAGCGCGCTACTGGTATGGCATAGCAATAGCGTTGGTTTCTTTTAGGCACGCTACTGGTAAATGTGCCACACCACACCACCAGATCAAAAAATATTAGTAGCGTGGATAGTAAATCCCGCGCTACTACTAAGTGAGTAGTTATAGGTTGTGTTTGGACTGTGAGATACCGGGTCAGATTTAATTCTGAGGAAAGTGAGCAATTCACTCCTACTAGGGGCTTGCGTCAGGGAGACCCCTTATCCCCGTACCTTTTCTTGTTGTGCATTGAGGGTCTTACCTCCCTGTTGTCGCATGCGGAGTGGAGTGGCGAACTTAAAGGAGTACAAGTTTGTCGAGATGCGCCAACAATATCTATTCTTCTATTTGCTGATGACTCCCTGATCTTAATGCATGCTACGTCAGGCAACGCTAATTGCTTGAGACGGATTCTATCGGATTATTGTAAGGCGTCTGGGCAGTTAGTGAGCGAAGACAAGTCAAGCATTTTCTTTAGTCCGAGTATCGAGCCTGAGGTTAGAGAGGAAGTGTGTACAATTTTGAATATAATGACAGAAGCTCTGACGGATAAATATCTCGGATTGCCAGCCATTGTTGGGGCAGACAAAAGTGATAATTTCCAGTTCCTGATTGATAGAGTGCTAAAGAGATTGCTTGGATGGAAAGAGAAAAATCTGTCCACGGGTGGAAAAGAGGTGCTTCTGAAAGCGATTGCGCAGGCGATACCATCATATGCGATGTCTGTTTTTAAAATCTCAAAACAAATCTGCAAAGGGATCACAGACGGTATGTCGCAATATTGGTGGGGCGATGATGCGGATCAAAGACGGATGCATTGGCTTGCTTGGTGGAAAATGTGTATCCCAAAGAAATTTGGTGGAATGGGTTTTAGGGATATCCACTGTTTTAACCTTGCCTTGTTAGCTAAGCAAGCATGGCGACTAATTGAGAACCCTGATTCTCTCTGTGCTACCATGTTGCGTGCAAGGTACTTTCCATCAGGAGATTTGTTGAACACGGAGTTGAAGAAAGGGAGCTCTTTTACATGGCAGAGTATTTGGGCTGGGATTAGTACATTAAAACGTGGTCATATATGGCGTGTAGGAGATGGAACTAATATTGATATCTGGAAAGACGAATGGATCCCAAATAGTGCATCACGCAAAGTTATAACTAGAAGGGGTCAGAACATCTTTAGTAGGGTGAGCGACCTTATTGATCCTATCACAAATCACTGGGATGTGGATTTAGTGACGCAGACCTTTTGGCAAGTGGATGTTCAAAGGATTCTTGCTATACCTTTATCATCTTCTGGCATGCAAGATTTTGTTGCTTGGAACCTGACTCGTACAAACATCTTTTCTGTGCGCTCAGCTTATTATGCAGAATGGGAGGGCCAATATGGCCAAAGGTTAAATAGAGGATATCAAGCTTTTGGTATCAAACCACATCCAATTTGGGATAAAATCCGGGGTCTCAAAGTGCCTGCGAAGGTAAAAATCTTTCTTTGGAGAGTTATGCATAATACTATTCCTTGTCGGGTTGCTCTGGCGAATCGTCATATTAAAGTGAGCGGGCAATGCCCAGTCTGTGAGATTGGAGCGGAAGATATTAAGCATCTCCTGTTCAAGTGTAGCCGAGCAAAGCACGTACAGCAAGCACTGGGTATTGATGACTTAATTGAGAAATTTTGTCTTGCTCATCACCCTGGAGAGTCTATTCTAGAGGAATTGTTGTACTCAAGCCCTGGTCAGTCTATGATTTTGAGACAAGCCCCATTGGCAGAGCTTGTTGCAGTGGCATGTTGGTATTTATGGTGGAAAAGAAGGCAAATTAGTCGTAATATTCAGGTGCAGTCCCCAGAAAGATCTGCGATAGCAATCAAGGTGTTATCTTCAAACTTCAGGTCTGCTACCGTTCCTAATGCAAGGGTGAGAAAGGAGAGATGGGCTCCTCCAACAGGTGATCGTGTCAAGATAAATGTTGATGCTTCCTTTGACCCAGACTTTCTGAGGGGAACTACGGGTGCAGTCATTCGTGATAAAAAGGGGAAGTTCATTGCCGCGTGTAATGCACGTTTGGATATGGTTCAAGATGTTTTGTCGGCTGAAGCTTTGGCGCTCAAACACGGCCTGTTCTTAGCTAAATCCATGGGTTGTAATAGAGTCGTTGTGAGTTCTGATAATAGTGAATTAATAGAAATTATGAAGAACGAGAGGCCCCCTACAGGTATTGCTGCAGCGATTTATCATGATTGTTTTTCTATGGAGTCAGACTTTGTTAGGGTTAAGTATGAGCATGCGAATAGGGAAACAAATTCTGTAACTCATGAACTGGCCCAATTAGCTAAATTCCAGACCAGTAGGGTCTGGATGGATGATCCTCCCTCCTCTATTGTACCTCTCATGGTGAATGATGTAACATTATTATCATTGAATAAAGAGGTCTTTTTTGAGGTCAAAAAAAAGTGAGTAGTTATAGCGCAGGCGATACACCCACGCTACTACTCATGCCAAGCGACCAGATAAAACAAAATTCTCACACAAATCTCACCCCCACCATGCCCCTGGCTCTCGGTCGAGCTCCTCTCCCCCACGATCTCGTCGTCGCCGCCACCACCCACGCCGGCCGGTTCCGGCGATCTCCGGCCGCATGCAACATGCCCCCAAGCTCCGCCCTACCCTCCCCTCCATCCAGATCCATGCCTCAAGGTCTGCACCCTTGCCCACGGCTAGGGATTCGGGCGCCCCCATGTTCTTGCCGCCGAGTACCCAGGTCAGCCCGCTGGCCAACGAGCAGCACCCCGCACTTACGCGTGCCCAGGCCGACGAGTAGTACGGGGATTGGCCGCGGACGGAGACGAGTGCAGGCGCGGCAGCAGGAGAAGCTATGGCAGTGGCGGATCTGGTGACCGCCGGGTTGGCTCGTCATTCGTGGCCGGCCGGAGTCGCGGTGAGGCACTGTCGTTGGTGGATTCCGGTGGCTGGCTGACGGCCAATTGCTCTTGGACGCCACTGCAGCTGCTCGTTTCTGAATTTTCAGTAATGCGGCTAGCTATGCCAAGTGCGTTTTCTGAATTTTCGTAAGTGCAACAGCCAAGTTCAGTTTTAGTTAAGTGTAGTACTAGTGTAGGCTTTGGGATATCAGTGTAGTACTAGTGTATGACAAACAAATTAGATGTTAGCAGATAGATGCACAATTATTTCAGTAATGCCAAGTTCAATTTTCGTTCATTGTAGTGCTACTCAAGTTGAGTTTAGTTCAGGTATAAATTTTCTATTGACGCATATGTTGCAGCAGTCCGCGTGATTGTGATTCTCGTGTCGTTGATAGCTTGGAGCAGTCGGTTCCGGTCCATCTACTACTCGTGACCGGGAATGAAGGATCATGTCGCTGATAGTTCAGGTATAAAATGTATCTTCTCATATAGCATTATTTCTAACGGCAAGTGTATTTTGGTCTACAATATATCAGCTTCCTAGTAAGGCCTTACTGCAAAAAGATAATACCAACTACAATGCTGCAGTCCTACAGTTTTATTCATCAAACTTTGTTTCTATGGTTACTATTTTTATTATTTCAACAACTGGTAGTGAAGTTAAGGCGAGCATTGGAACATTTTGATAGCTTAGTCTTTTTGGATGGTCCTCTATCTGTATAGCATTACAAGCAACAAACACTGAGCCTTATTCACCTTCTTAATCAATATACTTGGAGTCCACATCCAAGATCAAAGCATGTAGCTCTGTTCACTCAGGTTCTCAGGAGTATCTCACAAATGAGTCCATCTTAGGTGAGAGATGACTCATCCAGCCATACGATATTATTGACCATTTAGTAGCAGTTGACCAACAGTTTTGGTAATTAGAGAAGAAGACAATTCCACAGAATCAAAGTTCAGTGCATTCGTACGGTAAATTAGCAGGCAAGCTACCTGTACTAAATACAGGTGGTGCTACCTGTACTAAATTTTGCTCTGTCAGATTTTTATATATTTTTATTATTACCAAGTATATGAGTTTGCTGTATCAGGTTGTCTCAACGTATTGCAGTTACACGTTAATGTGATAATCAATTGCATGTTTGTGACTTCTCTATGCAGAATGAAGAACAGAGGCCTGTAAGTGTGGTGGTATGGACTCTTTCTAGAGACATACTTCACTGCTTATTAAGTTGTGGGTTGTTTTTTTGACAGATATTTTCTCACTTTTTTCCAATGTTAAACAACAACTTAGTCTCCAGTTATTGTACTTGTGGTACATAAGTGTTGTTTCATTCCTTCTTCAGCTTGATTATTGTTTTTATTCACCTTGAGAAGCATAAGTATGATTCCTGCTTTTAAACAGGATTCCAAGATCAAATTATCTGGGCTGGGGCAAGAAAAGGAACATGCTCCGGTCTCCGGCAATCTAATAGATTCAGTAAGGACTGTAAGCTGATCACATAGTGTTTTGAAGGAGTAATATCAAATATGTTGCAGGATTCATGGTTTGGGAGAAACTTGTGCATTGAGTTCAATATAAGGAAAAGCTTGAGAAGGTTGCCTTTTGTTCTTGCAAGATGTAGCACTCATGGTGATGATAAATATATTCTTTTCAATTTGTTTCTGATAATGCCTTGCTTTTTTTATACAAAGTTATGACCACAAAATTATGCTCATAAAAAATTATTTTTCATCACCATATAAAAATAGCATATGTACACATAATGTATCGAAGGGCGCGGCGTGTTGCCGCGTGGGCATGGCTACTATATACTATGCTATTGTTACTTAGTGCTCTATAGGTTACTGTTATACTGTACTAAAGCTCCAGGTTCTTTTGAGTTCCTAGGAGTGGTCTTGGTTCATTGTTTAATTCCAGGATTTGTGAGTTCCTAGTAGGGAACACATGGACATGAAGCTATGGCGGCGACGAAGGTGATATCGACATGGGGCTGCGGCGACGATGATTACGACAACATCGACATCAACACAGGGCTACGGTGGCGACCAAGACGACGACATCGTCATGGTGCTGCGGCGGCGACGACGACGACGACATCAACACGACCTTGTGGAAGCTCCGATGCCGATGACGTAGACGCGTGGCATATATTGTGTGTGTGTGTGTGCCCACGTGCGTGCGTGTGTTAATTATCTACATCAGATATGTATGATTGATGATTGAATGTATACATAACATGTACGTATTGTGAAATGCATGTCTAGACTGAAATAGGTAGGCTTTTATTTTTTTAAATCCTAATTTGTTACTACTAGCGTGGGTGTATCATAGAAGCGCTACTGCTATTCCTTTACTAGTAGTGTGGGTGTGGAATACTAGTAGCATGGGGTACCAGCGCTATTGGTATGTGTGTTTAGCAGTAGCGTGGGGTAAAACACACGCTACTGCTAAAAAATTGCTGTAGCGTCATAGCAGTAGCGTGGGAACCTACGCTACCGGTAGTCCAAACACCCACGCTACTCGTAAGGTTTTTCCTAGTAGTGAAGTGAATGTAGGCGCCGGCTGTTGGATAATAGTACCTGATTCTCGGCGGCGTATGGGTATCGTTGGCATACTTGATAGTTAAGGATCGTTGATGGTGCTCGTGTTGCGGTTGAGTTTGGGCCGGCTGTCTCCGTCGCTGAAGCGGCTCCGGTGCTACGGTTGCGGCGCCTGTCGACATACAAGAAAGCTCATCTGTGGTAAGTGAACAGTTGCACGATAAAGAGAAAAAACGAAGGAGTACAGATTGAAATAACCTGATGAGGCTGCGGTGTCGGTAAAGCAGGGCCGGTGGAGTTGAATATGGCGTCCGTGGAGCGGGTACGGTGCAGTGGACGAAGGCTTCGGTGGGAGCGTTGTACAGTGCTTTCCGTGAGGCGGATCTATTGCGACGGACGAGGGCTTGTATGAAGGGCCAGCGAAGGGACGGATGAGGGAGTCAGTGAAGAGCCTACACTGTGGTGGACGAGGGCGCCGGTTAAGCAGATCCGGTGCAGTGGACCATGATGGCGGTCAAGGAGATCTGGAGTGGTGTACAAGCCAGTCGCTGAAGCGGCTCCGGTGAGGTGGTGAGTTGGCAGTTGGGGGTTCCAAGGTGCAGA